GCAGAGTTAACACTCTGTCCACGAGGGCAACCTGTTCTCGTTGTCCGTTTCACACGCGGCGCTGTGCCACTGGCTAAGCCCAACCTACAAGAACTACATCAGACTCGGGCTCGTTCAGCGATTGATTCACTTGTGGGCTTGGAACTATCAGGGCGATATCGATGATATGAGAATTGTTCTACATCCTTGCGCTATGCGTGTTTCTAAGTAACCCACCCATGCCCCATCGGCATGCCTGCGCGCTCAGCTCATGCCCGAAAAAGTTTCGGTAAATCGCGTGTTCGCCCTGTTGCGAGCCGGAGTGCACTTGAAGCATGGGCACGTTCGTTTCAATACTAAGTGGCACAAGTCTCGCAGCAACGACTCGTCGTTCCTCTAATCACTACTCGAGAGATCTTTAGTGTGAGAGTCAAACGAAAGCTTGCGGCCGACACCCGCAGTGAGAAATGGCATGCCAAATGGAATTTTCAGTTCACACGGCCTGCCCGATGCGAAACTCAGCACAACCGAGTTTTCGCTGAATGCATGCTACTTTCACAAGAACATAAGAAAAGAACAATCCTCATATCAGCAACTATCTAAGTGCGCGCCGGACAGCTTCCAGCAACAACCCTCAACAAGTGGAAATCGTGCCGCACCGTCCGGACTGGCTGTGTAGACTTCACAAAGCAGCGACAATGCTGAACAGAGCCCGGGATCAACAGAAAGGCTCTTGACGCAATAGCAGTCAGGACAGACCACTCCGAACCACCAGCTATTCTGACAGAGACCTGCTTACTCTGTAAAGTCGACACAGAGCCTCTGGAGTACACGAAAGCGATTCGCATTCTCAAGCGGCTGCAAATTTGATCCTGCCATTCGTGCTGAGGTGATCTCACGGCACTCGCCCGGCGGTCTGCGGCCTTCGTCGACATGTTCCCGTGGTTTGTGCCATTTCTCGTGCAGTGAGCATAGCTCTGGCAGGCACCCTCTGGTTGCACCCTGCAGTGGGCCCCGACGGCATGATTGCTTCGAGCGACAAGGAAGGAAATCGGGAGCTCATCCCGACTACGGAGCCTTCAAATCAAAAACGCGGACGGACGTCACGAGGTGTGTGTGCCGCAGGCTTGCCCTGTCTCGAGCAGTCAAGTCAGTTTCTTGTCTTGCATAAGAATGTCAGAATCCAAATCCAATGGTCGGTAGCCACTCCGGCCATTTGCGGATTCAGTAGCTCGAGGACGGGTCCAACTGCGAGTTCCAGCAGAGCAACGGCCGGCGAGTACATGCACATCAGCTGCTAGTTCGTGCGATGTCGCATGTCTGCCGTCTTGGAAATCTTCGCATTGCACCTTTGCCAGCCCCCCGTCCGCTGCACGTGTTCTCGGAATGGTTCGGGCTTGCCTAAATTCGTTCGTCTCTCCACCGGGTTCCCGATCAGCGAGCCGTACACGAGCTGCCAGACTGATGAGTGTCACCACCCCTTTTCGACTTCCGGCATCCGGCTTCTTGTCTGAACAGTCATGAGCAGTCCTTTCTTGCATCCAACCTGATACTGCACCTGCTGGCGACCCAATCGAAGCTCACGGCAGTTCAAGCTGGACATGCCAGTAGCTTAGGACGCTTAGGACGAGCTGGGCTTGAAGCGTCCCCAGCATAGCTGACTCCGGGGCCTACGGCCAGGACCGCAAAAACACTGGAGCAGAAGCATCATGGGTTCTGGACAGGACCGCGGTGTCGAAGGAATGCTCTGCGCTTGACGGCCCATTTCTGGCAGCAGCACAACTCTTCGACGCGTCCCCAAGGTCAGCATGTTGGGATGACCCGGTGGCCAGTACATGCGCATGGCAGAGTTCAAGGTTCCCATCATTACTATTGCTAGTCCAGGGAGCTTGGGAAAGGATGTGCTTGGCAAAGGCTCGGTTCCAGGAGCGCGTGTGGTTTAGGCTGTGCCAGTGCAAGAGCGGCCGACGCAAGAGCAGACGACCGGGTGAAGCAACCGCGGCACAGATGTCCTGGCAAAGGGCATCAGTCTAAAGTCACGATCTGTTCATGCACGAGCACTGCAACGTGAACATGCTTGAACTCCCTAGCGAAAAAACAGCACCCAAGAGCATGCCGGCGACCCTTCTGACTTCCAACAGCGAAGCTCTTAAGCACTACTCGCAGATTTTGGCTGCCTGATTCCCTTAATAGCCAGTTGCGTGCTACTGGTAGCAGGATGAGTTCAGCTCCGAAATTGGTCGAAACTTCGCCCGTCCTGAGAGGTTCCTGAAATAAACCGCTTCGCCGTCATCCACTTCGAGCAACAGGTTCCGTGAGACGGGAGCGGGGGCCAATCCTCCTCCTCGCTCTAAGTGGGTCAGTTCCCTTCACGGGAGGTGCTGGGTGATGGCTTAACAGTTCAGGGCGCTTGGGTAGTTCAAGTGCACGTACATTGCACAGAATGGGCTGTCGAAGCTGTATAGAGAAGTCGGAGCCAGAGGGCGTGGCTTGTTTTGGGCAGTCGCCCCACCTTCAGCCGGTCACACTGAACATCACGACGTCTCCTGCGCGCCCGTTCGTTTCGAGGTCACAGGATCCGGAGCACATACCGCTGCACCCGCAAGCCACGAATCTCGCAGTGGCTGCCATGTGAGATGAGGGACAGAACTCCGGATCCTGAGACGGCAGTTCAATGCTTCCTACTCGAAGTCGAAACTGAAACACACCTACAGTCTGGCTGCATGCAGACCGGCTGCTGTGCGCTATGCGCTCCAACGTCACCCTATGGAAGCGTAGACGGGGCGTGCTTGCCACCGCTGCAGGCCACTTCCGAAAGGAAGCTGCGCACCGAGATCTGGTGACGGTTACAGCGGCGAGGCCCAGGCATCCAGATTCCGGGAGCTGCCATCGGCGGGGTGAAGCGGAAAACTCCCGGCGTGCTCGGCCGACCTCACATCCAAGCACCATGTCTTCTTGTACTCCAAAATCTCCAAACCCCAAAGCCGTAGGGCTTCATACACTTCTGCGAATGGCCGCGCCTTCCGATCAGCAAATGCTGCTTCGACAGCAAGAGCTCTTCTGGGCAGCTCACTCCTGAAGAGAAATCAGACCCACGCGACACTAGTTGCAAGACGTTTGCCTCGAGACATAGAGATCGACCTGCCCCACCTTCCAAAGTAGAAATGCGCTTCGCGGGTTCCTTCAGCCTGATTTCCCTGGAGTTCGAAACAACAGTCGCCCTCGCCCACTTCGAAAAGAAATGGAACGGATCCTTACCTTAAGGCAATTCAATGCCACGATGACCGAAGAGACTTCCATTTCCGATGCCCTGCGCGGAACCTCGGGGCTCAAACACTGGACGGCAACAGAGTTGCTGTGGGCAGCCCAGGCCATAGCCTGCATGCAGCATGCATGGCAGTGGAAGCGGAGCTGGATTCGGATTATGGCAGAGATTCTTCGCCGAACCTTGAAAAGCCCGATCACCCTGGCCTTGCTCGGAGCACAACCCCCAGCAGAGCGGCCAGCGTCGGAGTCAAGCATCATCCATCTGAGACCACGGGTGTGTTGCTGACCTGGTGTGCGCAGCCCCGGGCAGACTCTGACCTTAACCTTCCGACTAAGTCGCGCTGTTGGCGTTGCGCCTAGAACACGTAGAAGCTTGATCTAGGTTCTGATCTCCGAGTTCTTCAACTTTTCAAGCTCGCAAGTACACTTCAGGGAAGTCAAGCAGGAATCGCGAAAGCATGCTTCCGACAAGAACGTGTCGGTGCACTCAGGCAGGCGCGGCACATCCATTATCCAGTGGAGCAAGTTAGAACTAGCATAGTTCCATGAAGGGCACATGAACACCGCTTACCGTTGTCCAAAGGCAAGCAAATTTGCAACACTCTTGCGAACACCTGCCAAGACACCGAGTCTGCAGGCACGGCGAAGACTCTCTGCTCGGAAAGCGTGGTGATGGCATGCTCGAAACTTCGACAAGTTATGAGATCTGCTAAACTCAGACGATACACGACTGGCAGACATCCTTCCAAAACTGCGCATTCTTGACCACTTACCCCAATTCACGACACATCTCTGGATCTAGCTTCTTGAGCAAAAATAAACTGCCCATGCAGAAGCTGCATTCTTTGCGCTCCTTCGCTCCGCGTTTGTAAGAGCGTTCTTGCACAACCGTATCCAGTAAGATACATGCAGATAAATTAAAAGCTAGCAGCTGCTAGCAGCTAACGCTTGTGGGCTCATCTCGGTCGCCAAGGGCCTGGAAGGTTCAGGGAGAACCTTGGGGCGCAACACAATAACGAAGCTGACCAGTCGGCCGTATCCAACATGACGACACGAGCAGAGCGTCGCTCCAAACATCACCAAAAGTCACGCGGAGCGGGGGGGGCAGCATCCCGCGCTTGAAGTCAAAGTCTCTCCTCTTCCTCTGCCTGCTACCCTCCGCTTCATGAGCCCTTTTGCATTGGCGAGCGCTTCAGAGCCTGTCGGAGTCTCGTTGTCCTCTGGACGCCTTCTGCCAAGGCTCAGGCAGGGACTCAAAGTGTCTCAAATGCTTTGTCAAGTTTTGATTTGCACCTGAGCTTTACGACTCTCCACCTAGATCCGCAGGTGCGCCGGTCTCCGGCTGGAGCAGACTTCTCACTTCTCGTCGGAGGCCGGCTCGCGCCTACCAGTGCTCTGGGCGTTTTACGCTGCCCTTCTTCCGCCCTACGGCTCCTGGCTTCAGAGAAGGTGCTTACTTAGCCCGAGCCTTCCCGGCGGGCTCGTTCTGCTTGCAGGCTGCTCGGGCGCCCGGCTGCACGTCTCGTGGATGTGGATCAACTGAAAGCGTCAGCCCAGCCTCGGCCGTGGCTTGGGTTTTGCTCGGACGATGAGAATTTGTGCCTGGCGGCTGGGCAGATTCGGCCGAAGCTTTCTAACAGATCTCCCAGGCTACGTCCACTCATCGAACCAACGCAGAATGCCTCATGTGCAGCGTGCCCGAAGACTCGACGGATCGACGGAATAGTTCTGAATCTTCTTCACAACCAGCTGGCTCATGGAGACTTCGCAACGAAAGAGCGCAGCTCGTCACGAATTTCATCGACGTCTTTGCCTGGGGCTTGCGATTGGACACTCAGGGCACCTGCAGGTCGTTCTGATGGAGTCGTCAGAATGGGCAGTCACAAGTATGTGGGGGTCCAAGCCTGTGACGAACCTGAACTGAAGCGGCTTTTCTTAGTCTTAGCCCGCCTCCATTATCTGAGCACTTCTCGAGGAAGGCGAAGACGAGCTGAGACTGCCTCACCAGCTGCAGGGCTGGGTTGCAGTTAGGGTGGTTTCGGGATCCAGGAAAGATTTTTCCATAATTGTCTTCCTGGAACTTCCGGACGTGTCCGCGATCGAAAGAACCCAACACTCAGCACGGTGGCAGACAAGACATCCCGTACTGGGTGGCAGACACTATGTACAATAATCCTACGAAAGGTTGCAGCTGCTCAGCGAAACATCAAGGCATGAATGGAAACCCAGACCGCACTCCCCCCCGCCAGCTGGTTGAACATGGTGTTTGGAACCTCTTCTGCATGATCTTCGCTTTCTCGACAACGACGGCTTGTGCGTGCGGATTCGCAGTTCGGGGTCTGCTGTCCAGCTCGGGGACCTGTTGCTCACAGCCCTGTTGCACTGCTGCCTCAGTGCCACATGGGCCTGCTGCAAGCACAAAGCGATCCTCAGTCCGATGAATTTCAAGTTGCAGTTGGGACATGTTAAAACCACAGAACCAAGAAACGGAGCGACAGTCCGAAACGCCTGATCGTGGCCCTGACCAAAGAGCTCTGTTTCTGGGCGGGTGCTGAAGCAATATCGGACCCTCGCTCCGGAAACCAGAAATCTGATCGTGGCCCGAATCCAAAACGTCCATCTGGGCGGGTGCCTCTGCGTCGCCTCTGCCTGACGAAGCTGCGACGCTTGCGCCTGCAAATCGAATGAAGGACAAGAGTTGGCATCCTGTTTTGCCCACCCGCCAGCTGATGCCAGTCCTAGCCCAGGAGCCCGGCTCCGCATCCGGAGCACTGTTACAAGAAACAAGGGTGTCCCGCATGTTTGGGTGCACAAGCTGATACCGGCAGGAATGCATGTAAATGTGTCCGCGCGCATGCAAACGGAGAGACAGACCAACAGAAATTCAGCGAGAAGGAGAACGGCGGAGGTGGGCGCCTGGAGACGGCAGATCAGCAGATACTGCAGACTATAGAGTGATGTTTGGGGTAGTGTTGGGCACGTCGGCGACTGAAGTTGAAGTGCCTTGCATCCCTCTGCAGCTTCCCGAGTCCGGCCCGGCCTGAACTTCGCTCCTTGCCAGCTGCAGCTGACACTCCGCCTCCTGGAGCAGAGGACCGAAAATCGGGAACTATCCGTGCCTCCGCGTAGCAGACAAAGAAGGTTGCCTTCAGGGCCTAAAGTCGACCGGCCTTCAGACGCTCAGAAAGCTTCATCTTCTCGTTCTTCAGGGTCTCCACCTCTTGCCTCGGTGGCGAGTTGAAACTGCAAGTTAGGCGTTCGTCACTCACTCTCGCACAAGCACGCAAGCCTCCACACAAGTCCGTCACGCAACTTCGAACACATCGGCTGCAGCCATTAAGATAAACAAGCATAATAGATACAGAAAAAAAGATTGTCACCTAAGCCAACGTGTTCATGGAGTCATTGCTCTCTACTAGCTCACACCTCATGAGCTGCAGTGCCCGAATCATTGTCAAGGGCCGCAACGCAAAATGTGCTGCTCTCAACCATGCTCTGCTTCCCTTCGCCGCAGGACGGATATGTATGTGTGCATACATATATATCTTGATACTTTGCCTTGGCCAGGGGCCTTTGAAGGATTCCAGTACAACTGGTCCGTATGCGAAGTCCGAAGCTCACACTTGGGCAAAGCCTGCACACATCGACAATCCAGCCTCGAGGCTTCAGGACTAAGAGTGTGCTGATTGAACGCTAGGGTAATTACTACATTAGGGTCCCCTATTTTCGGAAACTCCCAGATTGACTGGCGGGGACCTGCTGCCAATCCGGCAACTTTGCTGCTCTGGCGCAGAATTCGTCCCCGCCGGTCACCGAGGCCAGATGCCCACTCCTCAAATCGTAAAGAACCAGCGTGGCGGATCTATCATGCCAACCAAACGCATGCAAGGAGTTTCCGTTCCACCCAGTGCCCCGCAATTGATGACTGCAGCTGCTGTGGCAGATGCGAACAGCTGCACTGCAGCCGCCAATCTGGATTGATCTTGGCCACACTGGTACAGGTTCTGGCGCATGTAGAAGGGACATTCGTAATAGCTTCTCGCGGCCTGCTCTGCGAAATATCCTAAGGAAGCAATCGCGAAGGTGACCATGGACGAACACACCGCGGGAAGGCTATCGTCATCCCCACATTCATGAAAGGCCTCCGCAGCAAGCGTTACAGCAGATCCAATCAGTTTGGCCGTTGAACCTGCAAACCTTCCGCACAAACCCACACGAAGCCGATTCTCCTTCCAGGCTTTCTGGCGCTCCACAGCGCCGCAGGCGCAGACATAGTCGGACTTGATGTATCTACAGCAGCTCGTAGGTGCAAGGCACTTTTTGTGGAGGAAGCCGCCAATCTCCCCAACACCTGCAAAGGCTGCCAGCGAGAGGAGAATGTTCCGGGGACAAACTGTTTTTGATGGTCCGGAGCAGTGCTGCCCAGCAGGAGCGGCCTTCGCACCAGAGAGGAACATCGTCCTGGCAAAGGCTAGCGACTCTATAGCGCAGTCCGTCCTGAAATTGTCACCAGGGGTAAGCCTTTTGGTCTCCCGTTTATACGTCCAGGGATGCTTGGAGACCTCGAAGGCTTCCTTCTTCTGCTTGGGCGTCACGGCAGCTGGGCAATCATATCCCCCAGCACTTGCCACATAGAGACCGGCACTGGAAGCGTAGCCGACCGAGGAGACCACTTCGCCAGCACACCTGCCCCAATTGATACCTTTCTTTGTGGCATTCATCCGTAGGATGTGGCGATAGTCCAAGTCCAGATTGTGACACGACTCCACCGTAGAACCCAGCTCCGTTGCAAGAACGTTCAACTCCCATGCCACACCCTCCATGCGACGTGCGTCGAAGAAGTAGCCGCGGGCCCTTGGGAGCAATCGTGCACGGAAACTTTGAACTCCGCCATGTACTTTGCCGCATTGCCAGCCGAGCGGACCACGCGTGTGGCATCCGCTGCACACTCCATGCCGACAAGCTTCTGGTCCTGGCAAACCTTGAGGTCGGCTTCAATGGATGTGGCAATGGTGCCGGCATCCTTGATGATCGACAGGATCGTTCGGGCGCAGAATCCTGCCCTCGTGTTGTCTTCTTTGCCCCACTTGCCCGGTATTCCACCCGGCAGGGCGCGGTCCTGGTCAGGAAAGAGCTTGAGCTGCAGCTCCCGCATGGGAGGATGCTTGAGCTTTCCGGTGGGGTGTCCGTGGTTCAGGATGCCCTCCATGAAGCCATGTCCTGAGATGAGGAGAGGTCTGGAGCTCACCTGGTCAAGGTAGCCTCCATGCAGCAGGAAGTGCGTCTTTGAGTGCAGCTGCAAATGCCGCTCTGGGATACTTGCCGGTGGTTCGTAAAGCGCCGCGCCGGTGAGTCGCATGTTGGACACTAGGGAAGCGAGACTGGAGTCTGCTTCGTTTGTTGCTGCACGACCAATCTTCACCGTGGTCTGCGGCTCTAAACGTTCCAACTCGGCAGGAGAGGGCATGTTGCAGACGTTGGTGCCGTTCAAGAAAAAGTCGGGCGAGGACCCCCGACGCTGGCATGCCACATGCACCCACTGCCTCAGCGGCACAAACTTCGAACAGGAGCGCAGAACCGGCGCACCTCCTCGTGGAAGGATCATCAAGGCCAAGAACCCGTTGTTAGAGAGGATGACCGCGACCCCAGATTTCGTCGAGTTTCCAAGGCGTTCGCGGGTGTCCCAGATGACGCCCCCGTGGGCTAAGAGGTAATGCCAGCCTTCGAGGGTCCACTCACCACCCAAGCTGAAGCTCAAGTTGGCCAACGAGAGGTCCCACTCCGTGACATTGTAGGCAGTTTCACCCAAGCGTTTGAACTCGTCGAGCTCGTCTCCATGGGCGTCCCATGCCTTCGACAACGATGTGTTCCAGAGGTTGGATCGCATGTGTTCAAGACCTGGCATCGTAGGCAGCTTTGCCAACGGCTTCCCAAGAGACTCCTCGATCCGTAGTAGTGAATGCCTTCTGTCCTTCAGGCGGCGGGCGTTCGAAATCACCGGCTTGCCTTTGACGACCTGTTCGCTCTTGCCGGTGATCGGGTTCACGCGGTAGGCGTAGCGCGGAACGTAAAACCAAGCATTGCATTCTCGAATCGCAGCACCTACCTTGATGCTGAGACCAACGAGAGTGATGGCAGCTTGGAGGGCTTGGCCCACGCATACGGCAGGATGAAACTTCTTTGCGAGCTCCTCTTGCACTGTGGGAAGGCGCAGCTCATTGAAGCCCAGGTCGCGCTCGGGAGCAGCCTTCTCCGCCCTATGAGGATTTGATACGAACTCCGCAGAGGACAGGCCGATCAGTTCCGAGGCGGAGGAGTTCTTCGCTCCTGCTCGCAACGGGTTGCCGGCGGACGCGACGAAAAGCAGTGCCAAAGCTGCACCGACTGTGCAGAAGCGGTATCGTCCTGGCCATCTGTCAGGCGTCAAGCTCTCAACGCCCAGGCCTCGCACCAGGATCGGAGCAGACTCGTCGACGATCCCTCTTCTGCTCCCTTCATCACACCCTACCACTGCCATGCGGGCCTGCCACGCTGAGCCAGAATGGCTTGAGCCAACGTTACACCCGGTAATTTGCAACAGGCTTCATACCTCGCCCTAAACCCTAAACCCGAATGCTTAACCCTAGCCAAAGGACTCTCTCTCACACAAGTTCACACCTGGCTGCTCGTAGCCCTTCCGCAAACCTTCCAAGGAGGTCTCGGAAGTCTGGCGAGCCTCTGCCAGCCTTGGGACCATTTTGGGACGCCGCTTTCAAACACAAACAAGCTCAAGCGTGTCAGCGCACGAAGGAATAAACGAACCAACGAATGAATGGATGAAATGAAGGGAATAAGCCACGCAGATAGATAAAGAAAATGTCGCGGTGCAGACACGCTCCGGACTAAGCCAGCACACCTGCCGGCGCAGAACGGTGCCTCCATCGGAGATTTCGGTTCTGGTCTCTCCACCATGGCCCAAGAAGACGTCAGGAGAGCGGGCAAAAACAAACATGGAAACCGGCAAAAAACGACCCCCACCCGGTGCAACATCAGCCACAGCTTACGCCGCCGCGGTCTCAACCCTCCGATCTAAAATGGAACGAAGATATGAGAAATCAGTCACAATCTTGACCCTATATGAATGAGCAAGCACGCACGCCCATGCAGTACACATCATGCGCACATCATCCCCGTCCCCCCACTCTGGCGGTTCGGGGTTCGCCGACTTCCGCCCAAAACCCCTCCAACGATTCCCACGCCCAACTCCCCATCACGTTGATTTCTCTCCCCCCCTCACACACCTGTTTCGGTGCCTTACGGTCGTCGCCACCCTCGTGGGGCATCATTGTGCGATCGTTTTCTCGCCTGTCTCGCGTGACAGTCGTCTCTTGACGCGCTGTGCCCCGAAAACGATGATGATGCTGCTGATGAAGCATTTTGCAGACCGAATGACACTGACAATATAGATATGGCAAGCATACATATAAAAATGGACATCGACAAAGACATGACGATAGCAACATCGTCTAGCGCGCCAGCTAGGTTCCGGGTACTGAAGTTTTGCCACTGCGCGGGGAACATCGAATTGAGCCACCCGGAAGCCGAGGTGCTGCTTGGAAAAGCGGCGCTCGAGGGCGATCCTAGGATCCCGGAGACGGCTTTCTGATGCTGTCATACTCAACCGCCCCCACCCGTCACCATGAGTTTGGGGTGTCTCATCCTTCAAGCTTTGTACGCAACAAGAGGTGTAGGCATGAAAGCGTGGCACAACCCGACATTCTGAGCAGCCACAGCTCGCAAGTGCATGTCAGATCACGAGAAGCAAAACCGAATAGTTTGGGGTTGGGGCGCTGCGGGCAAAACACTGTCAATAGTATGCATCTCAGGAATTATGCTACAGGTATGACATTGGGGCTGGGCAACTTTGCCTGTAGTGCCAAAACTGCCGACCTGAACCGAGCCTGCATAGGCTTGGCAAAGGCTCAATTGCTTCTCGTGCTCGGCTCGCATCTCCAGCTGGCCTCCAGCTTGCTCGCGCGTGCGCAACTTCCCACGCTGTCAAGGGTGCAGGTTTGGACTTGCAGAACTGCAGCAGTTCAGGTGTTTGTAGGCTTTATTAGAGTTCGTAACTACTGATACCACAGTGTCACGCTTCGCACAACACCGGTGCCAGGACCTAGGGGGGTTTTCGATGAATCAATTCAATAATTACTTCGGCAGTCGTCCTCCAGTCACAACGGGGATCAAAAAGCTCGTGATCCCTTCTAAAGAGAGCCTACGTTGCTAGACTCTTTTAGCTCGAATCCCAGGCGAAATTGCACCTCTTTCCATGTCCTTGCTTCGCAGCTCGGAGACCATGGAAAGGACCGTATCCTGCAGTTGGGGCAGAGCACGGGAGGCACCCGCAGGCTTCGCAGAAAGTTTGCCTGGCACACACGGCACGGCAGCTAAGACTTTGACATACATGCACTCACTATGCAACAACGTCGTGATTCAAGAAGTCTTTACCAGTGCAGAACTACGACTAGCACTACCTACCAGTAAATACCCAGGTCTTTTGAGTCAAGTGGTCAGTCGACTGCAACGAGCGAGCTGATGCCACAGCCCCTCCCCGCGCTGTCCTTGAGCCCCTGGATCTCAGACAGGACCTGCAAATTCCACACCGAAGCCAGCCGTGCAGCGAACAAAGGAGGAGGAACATGACAGGTTCAGGGTGCAGGGGCGAAGGTTTGTGCAGAGCAAGTGGGTGTTCCTACCGGGACGTTCTTCGAAGGGTTAGGATGTCATGCACTCGGAATCGGCCAGATGCGATGACACGATGTACTGAACCGCCTGCGACCCAACAGAACCTGTATGAGGAGATGAGAAATCAGGGTTGGGGAGTATGGGGTTTCGGTCCAAACGTGCATTTTCTGCCTTCGTCACGGCGGCCTCCGGTCTCACGCAGCAGCGCCGTCAGGAGTCGGCTAAAGCATGGCCAAACTTGGTCAAGAAGCCGACCGAAGTCTCCAGCCGGTGCAGGAACTGCTTCGGGATGTCTGCCGACGGACAGCTCCGATCATGGAGCGTTCCCCTCCGCCAGCAGCGTAGCTTTGCCAGGAGACACTTCTGCCATGATTCCTCGGCCGGTCCCTGCCTCTCACGGGCAAGCAGGACCTTCATTTGCTGCTTGGTCAGAAGATCTCGCTGACTGGGGCACGTTGTCTTCTCGAGGAAGGTCTTTCGTTTCGCAGCAATCTTCGCCTTGCCTCCTTCCGCCGAGGTTTGAAGATCCCCGTACTTGGCGACGAAACCTGCAGCCTTTTCGGGCTCCAGGCGGGCCTCCCGGCCACTTAGCTCGAATTTCGAACAGCTGCTGCCAGGTCTTTCGCTTGGCAGCCCGCCTTTCTGCCATCATCGCCTGCCGCCTTGCTGGGATGTCAAGATGCACCACCTTGGATGGGAGCGGCTTCCACACCCACTTGGGGCATTCATGTGGCGACATGGCAGCGTCTTCGTCTCCAGTTGCTTCGTTCGACGGCGCATCGGGCGCCTGGTGCGGACCGAGTGCTGCAACAGGTGTCTTCTGCTGCCGTCAGCTGCGGAAGGACGGCTCCTTCAGTGCGCCTTGCGCAGCGGTGACTGCTGCCCGCCCAAGCTTCAACATGGCAGCTTCGTCTCGAAGAACGGCGCAAGCTTTTCCAGCTGTTGTGGGAACCGCTACCAGTACTTCGGCCAATATTTTCAGGCCGAAGAAGCCGAACTGCTCCTGATGCGTAGAGGATGTCGCCGCATGGAAGCTTGGAAGCTTGGGACTGAGTGCATCTCCTGCACAGTCAGCATGCAAGGCCGCGGGGCGACCCACGGAACGCACTGGACGCATGCGAAGCCCTCACCGGCAGTGATGTACACTGAGAAGACTGCGCTTCGAGCTCAAAGCTGGTCGCATCTTGCGGCGATACAAAGATCCATCGAGCGCCATTCAGAAAATGCTTCATATTCACGATGCTGCCCTGCATGTCGGCTTTGCCTTGCGGACCTTTCGCGTCAACTTCTGCAACCTCCTCGTCGAGAGGACTCCTCAAGAGAGAGCCGCCAGCTGTCGTGACGCGCTGGCGGGTGAATCGATAATGTTCAATGGTCGAGTGGCTCCCGATCATGCGGCCAGGAAGACGTCTGAATGCTCCTCGAAGGCCGACACGTCCAGGCCATTTTGCCGAAAGAGGATGTAGCCGTTTCTCCAGAACTTTGAGAGCCGAGGTCTGCTTAGCCACAGAGGCGCCGCTCTTTGGCGCGACCTTCTGGGACCTCGGCCACTGCCTGGACGACAAATCGTCCATGTCCCTCGCCATGCTCATCGCATCATGATGGCTGGCTAGGTTCTTGAACTCATGCCGTTTTAGACAGCATAGTAATTTTCATCGTCGAACGTGGCTATCGCATGGAGCAAAAGCCCTATTGTTGAGCAACACTATGCGTTCAAACAACTTCTTCAGATGCCCCTGCAGCAAAACCCGACACCCTGCTCCAAAACGCCTGGTATCTCTGGGAAGCACATCCCGAAGCTGAATACTAAAGGCTATAAACCCTCAACTTCCTAAACCCCTCACCCCAGAAACCCTGAAAAGATCCTAAACCCTAAACCCTAAATATCCTATTCCCTAAACCCTAAATTACTAAACCCTTCCCATCTAAACCCTAAATTACAGTACTAATTAAACCCTCAACCCTGAACCCTATACCCTAAATTACTAAACCCTAAACGCCCGGCCTGCCCCCCGGGCAGCTCCAGACCGGAACGTCGCGTCTCGGCCGGAGCCCTGTCCTGGCAGAGGCGTTTCGAAGACTCGAAGAGTCCTCGCCTCAACTTTTCGATCACCTTTTAGCAGAATTTTACGTAGGCTTCAGTTCGTGAGGATCTTAACACGTAACTTAAGATGATCTTAGTAGAAACTGAACACTATTTGGGATATATCATACAGTAGTGACGATAGTGGAGTGAGAGTGTCACAGTGACCATACTGGCGTTCGCAAAGCCGGTAGACTTGCGCATTGAGCCACAGCATAGATTGGTCCTGAGAGAGTTCGTGGCAAGCAGTTTCCAAGCAGATAGCAAGAGCATGTCAGCAAATCTGAAGCCTGATCCCTGCCCTTTTCAGCATGGGCTTGGATTGTGTGCCAGCTAACACACCTCAACAGCAGGGCCTTCTCGTCTAACGAGGGATTCAACCGGAGGAGTGACAGAAACATAAGCATGAAGCAAGTAGCCCTAAACCCTAAACCCTAAACCCCTAAAACCTAAACTCCCTAAACCCTGGAAGCGTCAGAGGCCAGCATTTCCACAGCCGAAAGAATCGAGAATGCCTGGAGAATCTTCATCTGCTCTCGGAGGGTCCGCTCTGAGTCCATCAGCTGTGCCTTTCAGGAGGGTCTACCTATAGTCTCCATTGTAGTTCCTTTTTGGGGTTAATTTATAGGGTCCCAATATATAAGTTGGTTAAACCAGAAACAGGAACTACAAATTGGAGACTATGGGTAGTTTCCGTTTTTGGGGTAGGACAACTAGTCTTCAAATCTCCCACCTGCTCATGTTTTCCACGCGTTGTTTTAATGTGGGCGAAGCAGGGCTGGAATGGCGCTGGAATTGCGCATGACGCTGAACTCGTCCCTTACTCTGCTTTCGCGGTTGTGGCAGCCTGCAAATCCCAGCACCCTACTCTCTTGTGGCTTTCGCAACCTCCAGTCCCCTGTTTTGCAGCTGTAGTTTCCACCGGCAGCAATTGCTGCAGTCCCCTGATGGCCCTGAAAATTTCCGTGAGAAGGATAGAAAGCTTCGACGCCCGTTAAGCGCCTATCTATAGTCAGGACAAAAAGGCCACGTACCATTCATGGACTAGAAACGTACCTTAGCTTTGCCGAATTCAAGAGGTCTTCGGGTACATGCCCACTTCGAACGAATATTGAACCTCCTCTCTTATACATATCATATATGCCCATACGTATAGTGTACATGTCTTTGATACACACTCTACACGCTTGCGGAAGCCACTCTATTTTGTCTTCTTTCTCTTGGCAGCGGGCCTACACTTCATGCTCAACAAAGTCTGGCTTTTGAAACGGCTATTCGGAGGATAGCTTCTTTCTGATTCCGGAAGATACGACGACAGCTCAGGGATCGAACGCATGTAAGGATTGACGCAATGGAACCTTCGGAGGATCTCAGCTCATGCAGGCGAACTTCGGCTTCCTGAGCCGAAGCACGTCAAGCCCTTGCTCATACCAACGCCGTCATCAAAGGAACCGCTGCACACCGCCCTGTGGAGGCGCCTTCTCCCGCGCGAACTTCTGAGTCGCCTCAGTGAGGCTCCGGCGCGCGTCCTCCAGCGGAGGCTCTGCCAAGGAGGGAGGGGTTCCAGGTCTGAGGATTGAAACCACAAACCCCCAGCTGACCATCTTAGTACGACTGCATTCCACTTCAAGCTCGGTGTCCTCAAGAAGGCGCTCCAGCTCCATCCTCCCGGGAGGGATTTTAGTGGTTCGTTCAAACGAAAAGGAAAGGCGGTCACATGTTGTTGAGTGTTTGCATTCCTGCTTTTGGATAGCTGGAGACATACGCAACCGTGGTGACCTCTTGTGTTGCCACTATGGAATCACGCCCGATTCAGTCGGCCGTGGACAAACCATCCTCATGCAAATGCTTCGCACATGACCCGACGAATGAAACATCATGAAACATCAACCAGGCAATCTGCAAAGCACCAAGTTCCTGACTAGGGTGGTTGTCACACAGTATTTTTGTTCAAGATCAAACCGTTTGGGCAACACGTTGGCTTGCTGGCACTTCTGGTCATGGGCCTCCGGGCAACCTCAACGCCGATGCCGTGGCTGGACCGCTCCTCCGCACTGCCCCTCGGAGGAGGAACTTGCTTGTCTGGAAGACGCGGCGTGGCAACAAAGGATGACAGGTGCCTGTGGTCATGGCACGGAGCAAAACAGGTCCTAGGTTAAAGCCACCAGCCGGTCACGACTCATCCACCCAAGGCCGCCGCGAAACCCAGTGATGCCAAAACACATTATCCGAAGTGGCCTCTCAATTAAGCCAGCCATACCATGGACTCAACGCTGGCAACTTAAGCAAGGCTTCTGCCACCCGACTCGACAATTCGCAAACTCGCTGATGCAGGCCGCAGCCACAGCCCACAGCTATAGTGCTTGGTTTCAATACGCATCCCCGGTCCCCTCAGACCAAGAGTTCGCAACCAAGGTGCTTCAGGCCCAGAAAGCGTGCTTCCGCGTCGGCCAGCTGCTTCTTGAGAGCCTGGCTGCGCTCCTCGGCGGCCTTTGACGAACAACGCAGGAATCATGGAGTGGATCCGGCGGTCTACGCTCTCGCGGCTGGCACCTACTGAGCCAGATTGCATCACCACAGCCCGTAGTTTCGCACGATGCTCTAGTTCGGGTTCAACATTTCAGAAGTCTGCCTCTTTCCTGAACAGTCTCACAGCCACCGCACCTCTCAAGTCTCAGTTCAAGGGACCGTGTGGAAGTCCTCCCAGACCTTCTGCGTGCTTTGCAGCAGCTGGGAGCCCAAGCGGCCCAAGAGCACCTGGCGGCACTCTGCTAAGCCCTTACAGTGACAGCAACTTCCGCAGCTTCGAGGTGGGGCCGAGGTAATTCGAGAGGCCGGTCCGCGACTCGAATTCAGCACGAAAACAGGCTTCTTAGCGCAGACGGGCGGCCGCACATCTGCGCGAGTGGCTCCGACATGCCGGCTCGGCATTCTACCACGAGCCCTGTAGAACTGAATCTTCCACCCTTCACTCAACTGAACCGTTCTAATGATCCGACAGTCGTCTTCGACAGCCTTATGTACCTCATCTGAATCTGCCCATTGAGAAGAAAGTATACATGCACTTTATCGCATGTTCATGTATTCATTCGGGTCACATCGAAATATTTATGCATGCATGACACACTGTTTGTCTGGTACATACACGCAACGCACATACACACATACCTACCTACTTGCATACATACGTACATACGTACCTACGTGCCTAGGTGCATACACACACATACACATACTGCAAGCACATGTTCGCAGTGAACTGGTGTGAACTCATAAGATGAGTGCCGAGCGAGCCTCGGCCTTCGCTGGGCCCTGCGCTTTCTGCAGGTAGGCCTGCCTCAGCCGGTCCTGCGCGGCGACATGCGGGCCGATCTCGAAAGTCTCAAGCAGCATCAACAGCCAGTCACGAAACAAATGCAGGGAAAAAGCCGGAGGGCGTTCGACCGGCACTGCAGTAAATCAGAAAAGACATCCACGCACGACTTCGTCGGAGCCCTGCAAAGGAAGAGCCAATGCTCGACGAGCCGCGGCCAACAAACAACATCATGCAAGGGAGTGCAAGCAAAGGTCCGCTGGCAAACCAGCAGCGACGCCGTTCAGCGCCCAAGCCCATCACACGTTTTCATCTAGCACTTTGCAACCATGACATGACATCAATCAGACCGATACAATAGCGCTTCCAAGAAACTGCAAGAAATTCAGAGTCTCGTGAGGACGGAACACTTTCTCATCGAGAACGGCTATGCGTCGCAGCAAAACCTAGGCCCCAGGCCCTGAACCAAGACTTGCTAAGAGCAAAGATACAGTGATCTTGAGCCCGCAACAACGGAGCCTAGAGTCCCTGAACTTTGAACACCTCTTCAAGAAGCGGTCCCAGTCGGCGGCAAGCTCATGAAAGCTTGTGTAGGTTCCCGAGGCCAGGACCTCCCGGGCAAGGGGCTTCGGATTTCGGGAGCAGTGGTGCTTCCGTGATCCGACCTTCTGCTCAACTGGCTTGTAGAGCTCGTGCGCCTCGGCGCAAAGACAGCCCACAAGACCCCCTGGAAGGGTGAACCCTCGAGCGACATGGCGAAATCGCATGCGCACGCTCGAAAACTCTTGCGGCCAGAGCGCGAGGCGGTCGCACTGCCGCTGTGACGCACTTTGGTTCTCCTCGGATGCTCCATTGGCATAACCTTTCCCTTAACATTGGGTTTTTGCTTCACCACAGCCAGAAGCGGGACCAACTTCCTTGACATGCATGAACAGCACGGGATCGGCCAGCTTAGGTCTCCATGGTGGCATGCTTTGTGGTAACGAGACTCTGCCGTGACGTGCCCGAAGAGCTGGCGCACGCGCGAAGAAAACCTGAATGGTTTCTTGTTTCATGCAGGTTGTTGTACAATCGGTGCATCCTCATCTCGGCAGTGCAAACGCCGATAAATTTGTGCAACCTCGAACACACAAGAGACCTGTCGTTGATTGAAGGGGGTATATGGGGGGTACAACAGCTTGGAACATAGGCTAGCGGCTAGCGGCCGGCCCACGAATGTATCAATTCTCTGCGCTCAATGGGTTACACAACCAACTTTGTTTTACTGTCACAGCCGCAGACGACTGAAACAGAGAGGCAGCAGCGATGAAAGCAGCTCACCCTGCCGAACCACCACAGATCCGAAAGCCGGAGACTGTGAGAATGCTAATTCTGAACTCGGAAGGTCTGCAGAGTCTGCAACCGACATCCACAATTTGAACCATGCATCCCACGCATGCAGAAAGGAAGCTGCGCTCGGCTTTCCCTGAATCTCGGGTCGGCGTCCAGCCGAGCATTCAACAGTAGCCTGGGTAAAGCATGCGGTGCCAAAACAAACGGCGCTCGTTTGACAGCAAGGATGCTTCCCCACAGAAGGGTTCTGCCTTTGTTTCCTCTTGCACGGGCAATGCTAGCTTGCCTTGCTGTTTTGAGTCCCCGAAAAGTCGAGCCGGTCAATGGCTCCTACAACCATGAATCTCCGACATGTTTTAGACAGCCAGGTTTCTTCAGGCCCTCCGCCTTCGCCTCCTTGTGGAGCTCCCGCAACCTCAGGTCAGTTGCTGGGGGCTTTTATATTTGTGCCTCCGCTTGTGCCCATTGAGGCGGAAGTTTCGGCCGGTTTGTTGCGCATGGTGTCGCATGAATCGCAAGTCCAGTCGGAGCTCACCACTGTCAAGGGTGGAGCTAGACAGTATCGGGGAGATGAGCTGAGACTGTGAAATTGGGCAAAGGGCAGCCGCAGGTTCGGAAGGGATCGTTTGCCCCACTGCCGCAGATGCATCATGTAGTCCGATTTAAAATGGTTTGCTCCTCTTCTTCGAACACTCCAACTCTTTTCGACTGGTCTGCTGCTTTTCAACGGATTCTGCATAGACTACCCGCGACTACCCTCCAGCGGTTCGCTCCGCTCTCTCAAGTTGTCCAGTCTCCTTCGAGCGCTTGGGTACTCCTTGTCAACTTATGATGTAGCCCGGTTCGAGATGTCTGCTCGTGCTTCTGAACTTCTCCCTATCCATGGCGAGTGGCTTGTGCTTTCGAACATAAACACCTGGTCCTTTAAGGCCTGCGATCTTTCTTAAATTCTCTGTGTAGAATTTGACTACAATTTCTCGAATTTTCCTGTCATGTTCGAGATGCTCCTTCGTCTCAAAAACCCCGAATGCTTCATAAGCGTTGCGCGGGCTAGTTGAGTTGTGTCTATATACAGTCTCTAGTCACGTTCGAGAGGTTGGCTCTTTCTTCTCAAAATCCCTGTTCCCTTTGGAGTAGTTTGCTCCAGTTCCTTCGAGGGCGCTTGTAGGATTCCTCCAGCCCCTCAAACACTTCGTCGGTCTCTCTCAAGTATTTTCGCTCTTTCCCAAATTCCCGACTCCTTTCAAGCATCCCCTCGTGTAGCTCCTTGTCAAGTGGTTGCTCCCTCTTTGTATATTGTGCAATCATGCCGCAATCTGGTTCGAGCGGTTCGCTCATCTTTCTCTTTGTCTCTGGTCTCTGTCCCGCGGCTCAACCCTTTCGAGCGGTTCGCCTCTCCCCTAAAATGCCCTAGCCAGTATTCGAATGGTTGCGTCCTTTCGGCAGGGACCAGAGAATGCGGAGAGAGGTGGAGCACGCTCGAGAGGCATCAGAGACTGTGAAGCCGTGGAGCTGGCTTTTTGAAAAAGAGCAGAGTTTAAGCGAACCGTTCGATGAAGCATACAGCAAGTACCGACGAAAGGGACTGGAGTGACTAGGGAATTGCGGGATGCGCACATTCGAGCCGGGAGCCAACTGTTGGAAAGAGACTAGAAAGCAGATGAGGGAGAGCAAGCACTCGCCAAGTTTGTATCTCCAGACATGCTTGCCTTGAGCTGGCATGGCTTTGCTCTGCCGAGGGGCTTCTCCTCCGAGAGAGGCAGGTTCTGCATCGCCGTCTCGTTCATCCTCCCGGTGCGCTTCAAGCAACTGGCGAAAAACTGCCGCATGCCCCAAAAGTCAGAGCCTGGCCTGGCCTCAAGTCGCGAAGTGGACTCCAAACACTCACGAAAGAGGCCCTCACAGGTCCTCGAGCGGTACATCTGCACCGCATCCCGGAGCGACAGGCGCAGCTGATGTTGAACCACAGAGGTCCAGGCAGATTGGATCGTCGGCACCACACCACTGTTGATCGCTTTACCTTTGACTGGCTTTGATGCGCAAGGGAGGCATTATTCCATGTGATCATCCGGAGCCTACATGCGGCCAACATCTCAAGAAGCCTTTTGAATAGTTCTCGACTGGGGGCATGTGGTAAATGCTGCCACCCCTGTGGAGACACGAGCTGAACTTGTAGCCTGCTGCCCTGGCGCAATACTCCCCGGCCAGCTCCACAAGCATGGCCCCATTCACCAATTGCCCATCGATCTTCTTGGGTTTCAAGAACCTCGAGCTGCAGGAGCTCGGCTTTGGCGGGCTTTGAGCCGCGAACTTGCAAAGGGACACTGTTGGAGGGAACTTCGGCCTCGCCCGATTCTCGGATCTTATGCCATTGAAACCCGAAGAAAGCCACGTGACATGTACACCTTCTTCACGAAGGCTTCCACCTGGAAAGTTTCCGAGTCCCAAACTCCAACTCGAGAAAATCCCCAAGCCTTCAAGCTCTGAAAACGAAGACTCCTTCTTGAGGTCAACAGCAAGAGAAAGGCGTGATGTATACCTCCACAGCCTTCTCTGCGCTTAATTGCCTCAGTCCCATAAAGTTCCTTTGTTCGCCATATCTGGGCCCGTATTGGAATGCACGCCAATGAAACTTTACCTACATGCAACAGTGAATGAATTGGCATGCATGATCCCTCAAATGTGCTGTTACGCTCTCACAACTCGGGCAAGCCTGACGAGGTCTCAAGGTCGCATAGTTGGACCAAAGGACAGCAGAGCACATCAGGACCAGGTCAAAGAAACAGAAACACCCTGTCATAAAGGCCGAACAAGTGATGGCAAGTATGTTCCTGTGCGCTGATGCCGAGCCAGCACAGATCCGTCAACAAGAAACCGATGCATAGTTTCAAACATAACAAACCGAAGCCATCGCAACTTCAAGCCCATCCAGGGAATGATGAGATCATGAACGTAGTGGATACTTATGGATACGTGATACTTGCTGGAGTTGGCCTGCTCACGGAACTCTGGGCGCAAGGACTCGTAAGGCCTTGGCTCTGCTTGTGACCGGCAATGGCGCCGTCAGCTTGGTCGAGCATTAGCTGATTAGCTGGCGCACGAGCCTCTACCAAATGGGGCGTCACTGATGCAAGCTTCGATTTTGTAGCGAATCTTCGGTGCGACGACTTGCAGCAAAAGAGAAAAACCTGTGGCGTCCTCAAGAGCCCAGCAAAGTGCAGCCAGGCACAGCTTTTGGATGTTCCGAAGGTCGGCCTCATCAACCACAGGCCGAACGATCGTGGCACAGTCGCGCTCCCGGAAGAGATCCTCTCGCACTGTGTCTTCTCAGGCTAGTGGCTGGTGGCCCTCTTTGCCAAGCTATGCTTCAGCAAAAAAGGTCTTCGTGACTGCATGAGGCGTCTCTACCCGGGCACTTTTCTGTGCGACAATTCTACTGCAACTGCACTTCTCCAGACGGTGGCTGCTTCGACAAGACGACGGCATTCAGACTGCTGCAAATTCTGTACCCTGCCGCAAAGGAGGAGGAGAAACGCGTCCTTGATCACATCCCGCAACCTGTTCTTGTCGTCTTGGCCTACACGGCAGGGCTGCCATGCACGTTCCACCAGAACTCGGGCCATGCACGACTTGCGAAGCAGGTTCCAAGATTCCAAGCCTCGAACAGACTGCAAAGCTCGCTCAAGGTACTCCTTCGGATGAGCGAACAGGGCGAGGACACTCTCCCGGATTACGAAGACAAACACGCAGCTCGGAAAGGGGAAAGGACACAAACAACGCAACGCCATGAAAGTCTGAGAAGTCAATTGCTAGCACAAGGGGTCGCTTTCAGAGTCCCAACCCAGTTCAGCCCGTGCCCCCTCAAAACCGCGCCGGAAGCTGAGCTCTGAATTCCCGAAAAGCTGTAGCCAGGCCGAAGCTCCTTCTCGGAGATCGCCCCAGACCTTGCCATTTGCCATTGACACAGGCAGTGGATACACTAACACACTAACTTTCATACATTCATACACGCTTGCTGTGGACTCCAAACATGGATACGCGAGCGGGCCCAAATACAAAAACCGAGAGAAGCTGCGTGAGCCACATGACATGCATGTGCTTGTCCCTTCCCAGGGGCTCATCCGCCAAACGGAGGTGGAAATCCCGCAGAACCCAGAGGAAGAGAGGGAAGTACTGGGACAGGTCCGAGGACTTCTCCTCCTCTCCACCACCGGCTCGATGGCTCAGGCTAGGGCTACAAAGGGCTTCTTCGCAGAATGGGGATAGGACCTACCTACTATCAAAGCCTATGCTGAAACCCCTCAGAAACGCCTGAGAGGTCATTACTTGCTGCGGCCGGGGCAGTGTCAGAGAGGATGAGTTGCTCCTGGCCTAAACTGGTCTCCTGTCGTGCAATCGAGGATGCCTAGAGCTACTGTAAATAGTCGCGGTACATACGGACCTGCCTAGTCCCCACTACATGCCACTTGCACGTTGCAGTTGACTTGGGATTTGTCCCTGCGACATTATGCACTTGCTGAGCCGGGCAGGATAGGTAAACCGAACTCCGTCTAGCCTGGCGGCTTCAGCTGTAGATCTCGGGCCTCGACTACAGTAACGGGGCTCCTCGTTCCGCCGATGGCTCTTCACATGGATGTGCTTGGCTATGTGGAGGACGAGGTGAAGGTCATCGATGGCCTTAGAGCTCAACTAGACATCGACAGTCGTTGCCGCTCCCTGCCTCGGTCCAGGAGAGCTTCGCGTCAAGACAGCCCTTGAGGGTCCCCGGGCCCCGAAACCCATGGCTCAGGGCTTAGATGGCTCGTGGCTCTTCCGCCCTGTTGCTCCTGCCGAACTGGCAGGCCTATAAAGCCTAGACTTGAACCCTGACACCAAACCAAACTACCTACTGCCCTCTAACACCTACTTCTAGAAGCGACTCGCTTGTCGAGACGCGAAGCAGCCCAGTCGCACTGCTTTGTCCCGATTGTGGCATACCGACAAAGCACTTAACCCATCGACCTCATCAACCGCTTGGTACCCCGGCCCCAAGACAAGTCAAGCTCTCAAACTGACACACCCACAAACTCGCAAACCTTCCCACTTTCGACTTTCGGGCTCTCCAGGCCTTCGCATCAACTCTTGTTGCAACTTGAGGCCCGATTTCAACCCCTGACGTCGAACGTTCGAATTCCGTGGCTCGAAACATGACACCATTCTGGCCTCAGACTCCACAGCATCCATCAACGTCCCCTCACTCCCTGAACCGCATGCTCCCGGACGATTGCAAGCGACCTGCTCGTCGATCGCCCCCATGGAGTTGTAGATAAAATACCTGGCAGCCGTCTCTCGCAGCTTGCGCCGGCTTCGTGGGAGCTTGCAGGTCTTGAAAGTGCAAACACGACTCATTGCCCCGGCTCGAACTACACTCGTGCCGCAAAGCATCCTGTGGATGTGCCGGACTTGCAACTCAGCTGCCCTCCGCTGCCCCCAGGACACATGGACAAATCTAAAGCCAACCAGTCACAGGGCACGAGGACAACAGGATGCAAAGGGAGAGGATCTGCATGTCGCAACTCGCAGTCCGCTGCGTTGAACCCAAGCCCTCGGTGTCGATCAGGATGCAGTAGTAGTCCTACCATGCGAGACCGTGGACGGCATGCCGTCAGACTACTTGATGGAGTTGAGGCTGGGCAGTTTCATTTACACCTCTCAGCAGCCAAAGGTTAGGCTCGAGTTTGTGAGCCGTTCCACAACCTTTCTATCAAGGTTTCAGTGGCTCCCTTTACTCATGGTTGTGCCTAGCCCTAGCATGCAGGAGCATGAGCCTCTGCGAAGGGTGTCTCACGACTCACGGTATGGTGCGGAGTAGGGCGGAGTGGGGATTGTGACTAGCTGGACCTGAAACTACCTTCTGAGCCTTCTTCGCCCGAAAAACATCGAAAAACTTCAGAAGTTGTGCTCGAAGAAGTGAGCTCAGGCCGCACGTTTTCACGGCTCCGCTGTCCGGCGCCAGCTGTACAGGCTGACCCCAAATCCAGAGACCCTTCCTTAGCGTCGGGACACAATCTTCAACTGGCGCCAGGGATTGAGGATGCACTTGGTCCTAAGCTCCTCAGGCTCGTCTGGATTTCGCGGGCGTGATGCTGCAGAAGGAAGTTCAGCCCAGGAATTGCTCAAGAATCTCAACCCAGACACTAAGTCACTAAGTCTCTGAGCCAACAACAACGAAAAACACTCGCTGATATCCCCGATGGTGCCACACTTCACTGATTTTCTCCACCCATAAAAAGGCGCCGAACAAAAGAGTTGCACTTGCTGTAGATTCGCAGCCTCTCCGCAGAGCACCCCTGAACGCTGCAAACACCTGACGAACTCTGGGCCCAGCCGCGTGCACGGGTTGATGGTTGGTCCGATCTCGAAGCCATCCTGCAAACCTGTCTCGGCGCACGGCTTCGGAAGTTGGGCGCTTCGATGCGCATGCAGGCGCTTGGACGTGAGGATTAGGACATCGTCCCGCACTCAAGAAGGAGCAGAGAATCTGCGCAAGCGTGCTCTGCACATCTGATGCCGCCATAAACACTTACTCAACATGAAAACCCCGCGCCTAGCAAGCGATTCAGAAGGAAGGACTTCCCTGTTCGGTAGAGCCCGGCAATCCCCACGATCCTTGGCGACATCATGCACATGCCGACACCATCCCAAACAGCATTCAGAAGACGTCCATCGCTGAAACGAAAGTCTGCTACACCAAAATGTCGGAGAGTTGAGGATTTCTGTTGAGGGAGTTTATAGGTAGGTAGCAGCTTGTCAAAACGGCCGTAGATCAGACTTTCAATCCAACATAATCCAACCAGCCAAGCCACGCAAGCCTGCCGGGGATCTGGTTGAGGATGGCCGCGGCGTTGTCCTGCAGCCAAGCTGCCCCCGAGGGCATACAACTCCTACAGTAGCCTAAATAAGAAAAAGCTGGAGGTTTGCCATCGCCCTGGGGCAAGCCGTGCAAGCTTGACCGCAACACTTCCTGAAGGTGGCATTTGCCATCATCGTCGATCCGGATGAGCTGGAGGGGGCCGCTGAAATACGCCGGGTCGCCGTCGGCCATAGGGTTTTGCAATCTCTCGGCGCTTTCAGAGGCTATATGCAGCATGCTTCGGATTCGGTGCTTTCTAGCTGACTGCTTGCGCAGCAGGAGACAGTTTCGGGTTGGTTCAAAGGACAACTTTGAAGGCTTTAATATTGGCCCGCGTGCGTCGAAGACTCACAGGCTCGGGTATGGGGCCGGGAGGCTTGATAGGTCTACACAGTGCTGACGTCGTGGATCTGTGCCTATGCGGTGTCTCTTGAGAGGTGCAGCAGTTTAGCAGAAGCGGCACTGAAAAAAATCACAAAATCCGAGCGAGGCCCCTGCGGGATCGCAGGTCGCCAACTACGGACTTCAAACTCCAAGCAAACCACAAGGCAGCTCGAATCAAAGATGAAATTTCAGACACTATACTCCTTCCCCTGAATGGCTTCGCAAGGCGAGGCAGAGGGGTTGATGCCGTTGTGCCCTCCCTGAACCCTTGCTTTTTGCCAACTGGCTTGCACCGTCGCGCCAAGACAGCTGGCGCTAAGCCTTTGCCCTAAGTCTACTGCGGAAGGCTTGCTATCTTAAGCCGATGCGGAAGACGAGCTTTTTCTTTGCTCATGCTGCACCTGGCCATGGGTATTGGAACAATCATCCCATCGCTTTCTGGGAGCCACCCACCCATTTCGCAGTCCTGTTTTTGTACCACTGCGGGCTCGTTCAGGCTAGTGGGATTGGCTGGGTTTGACGTGCCTGGTGAACCGCTAAGAATACCAACCTCTCTGCATGGCCTTCCTGGTCCTGACGATGTGCGCATGCACCCAAGCTTCCCCGATCACCAACAAGATCATTCCAGAATGCAGCCGAAATTCGCCGAAACTCTTCGTGTCATGGCACAACTTTAGCCAATGACTATCTTAGGACCTGTAGGATGCACAAGAAGTGGACGGGTGATGATTACCCATTTCCCATTCATGTCAGCAGCACGGAGGCCCTCAAAACCGGTCACCCTAGTGCATGGATGCAAGCTTGCAGATCCTTCACCCCTCAACTCAAGCCTCAGCCGTCCATCAAGTCCTTGCGCCACATCGATCACTAAAGCCTCGCTAGGAGGTTGTACAGTAAACCATTGAATGTGCTTCTGGCACATTGGCCTCACCCTCTCCAAGTCAGGGCTGGGCCGGTGCACCGACGCGGGGGAAATTATTGAGCCCAAACTTGCAGGATTTACTTTGGCAAGCGCAAATACTAGCTTGCACTACTCCAGTGCAATCAGCAGAGACTGAGCAGAGTTTAACTAACTTTAACTCACACTCGGTTCGGACACAAAAAGGTTAAAATCACCTGCGGTGCAGTAATTGCACACGCTGTCGGTGCAAGCTGCGGCATGCTAGAGCGGCAACACTGTTTCAGAAATCAGCTTGTAAAGTAACCTTTCAGAAACCGAGCACCTCACAGTGTCGCCACTGTAGCAAGACTCATGCACATGGCGTGGTTGGACATGGCCCCCTCATGTGCGATTACTTCGTATCGCATCTGTCGGTGACTAGCGAAGTATTCGACGCAAAATTGCGGGAGTGCGCCATGCAAAAAGGATGACACGATGCCATCCTAAGCTTCCCCCTACTTTGATCAGATGCTCTAGGTCGTGGAGGCGCGCGGCGCACTCCCAAAAAAAACTCGTGCAGGTCATCAGTTGGCAAGGAAGGCCGGAGTGAGAAATCCGATGGTGACCAGGCCCCACAGGAAGCAACCAGGCAAAGAATAGCTGGC